AATAGTTTGCGGACCAGACAGAGCTGTCGGCGATTCTTCCTATTGTAAAGTCATGCAATGTGTACCCCCCCCCCCCCACCCCACACACACACACACTGCAGTGGTGTCGTGCCACTGTAATCACTCATATACCTTTATATTTGACCAGCATGATATTTTTGAATACAGATATTGTCTTTAGTACTACCTACTGTGTAATGCTACTATTTGCATTAAGGTTTTCTTATCTCTAATTAATGTTTCTGATGTTTGTTGTCACATATTACCATTTGAATATATATATATATGCATATGCATATATAGGCATTACCCAGGTGGCTGACAGAGATAAGACATTGCCATGTTTGAGAAATGCACCACACATTACTTTTGTAAATACTAGTTCTACAAAACTATGTACAACACACATATAGGTAATCTTTGTATCACAGTCTATTGCATAATGGTGATAATCTTTAGTTTTATAAATATTGTAAATGTACAGTCTTTAAGTGACATTTCATAATGTCCGTCTCGTTCTTAAATCAGATACAGAAAATAAAACCATCCAATTTGACCACACATCCTTTGTAAAAAATAAACTAAATTAAAATAAAAAACAGAAAAAATACATTCCCTTTAATGCACAAATGCTGTCTTGAAACACAACGCAATTACTGCACAACACAAAGTATTGCAGAGATCGAAACTGCACCTTGATTTGATGCTCTGAGCATTTTCTGATAATATATATTTTTCCAGCTGTTAAAAGTTTGAGATGTGCTTTTTAAACATTTCAGTAATTCCCAGGTTCGATTTGCGCAAACATTTTCCACAGTGATGCCAAAAGCTGCTGAATGCTGGACTTGTTTTGTCATCTTCTCGTTGAGAACAAAAATGGTAAATAAAACACATTCAAAAGCATTCCAATAACGAAAAATCCAAACTGTAAGGAAAACATCAACAGAAAAGAACATCTTCAGACACATTATAGTCACATATGTTAGAGAGGAAGACTTGTGTTTATACTAGAGTTTTTTTTTCTCATGGTCAATGCCAAATATTCTAGTTGGATTTGCACATATATGTTTGTATAATATACATTCTTAAGTTGAAGGGGAAGTGTGTCTAAAATATAGTATAAGGAAATTCTGTACAGGATAGCTATGAGGTTGTTATTTTTTCTCAGAGGAAGTTGGTGGGAAAAAAATACAAGTCTTTTCCCCATTTTTTAGTCTCTCCGTAAAAATATCTTTTAAAAAAATGAACATGAAAAAAAGTAAAATGGGATCATAAATTCGATGCGAACCGCATCTTGTCTTGTTCCGTCTCTGTACTGCTTAAGACTGCCGACTCTCTCCTGGAGCCCGTGGAATCCCTGTGCTGAGCACTAGAGGGTGCCGTGCGCACCGGCGGTAATGCGCCCGATGACATCTGCCGGAAAAGGGCGACCCTCTGTGGAACGTTGGTGCGGATGCCGCTTTGCAGGACGGAGCCCGGGGCCTGGACGCCTGCCACGGATCCAATGGGTGGCTGAATGGAAGCGAGCGATTCGCCCGATATGGGATGTGCCCGGGCAGCCAATGAGGTTTCGTGGGGCAATGACGGCTGCGAGGCAGAGAGGTGGCGTATGTCCTTGCTCAGGCTACCTGACTGGAGTGCCTGTGCGCTCTTGTGGACATCGCTCCTCTGAGGAGACGCCCCTTGTGATTGCTGCGGCGGTTGTTGTGGTATGGAGGCAGGCGAGGGCTGCTGGGGTAAGGGTTGCTGTACAAGGGACAGTTGGGAGGCCGTCAGCGATCCGTACTGGAATGTTCGGCTGGCCATAGGGGTTTGCACTGGGGGACTGCAAATGGATGTGGTGAACGAACAAGGAGACATGATCGCCCCTGCTGGCTGCTGCAAGGGCGTAGGGGGGGTTGGGGAAGAGGTGCTCAAGTTGCCGTGAGAAACACTCGGCGCCGAAAACGTGACGCCCTGTGAGGGCGGCACACGGCCTGACGGGGTTATTGTAGCGGAGGTGCTGTAGCTTAGTGGGGCGGCCTGCTGCTGTAATTGGTTGATCCCAAGAATGGCAGTTGCTGTACTGAACGGTGGCTGGGCGGGAGAGTTAATGATGGAGTTTCCAGACATCGGCGTGGAGTTCATCCCCGTGACCGATTGCTTCCGATCCACCATCATCACCATCTCTCGGTCCTGCCGGATGATCTGCTTCAGCAGCTCGTTCTCCTGAGTGTTGAAGACGCCAGCGTTCAGATCCTTCTGGAATTTCTGGAGCAGGAGAGAGTTCTTCTTTCCTGTTTGGAGGTGTAACCAAAAGATAGTCAGTTTTTAGTCAGGGCTGAGTGGGTAACAACTAGACCAAATGGGGGTAACAAAGGGTGTTGAAGAGTGAGAGGAGAAGCACAAAGGTATCACAAATGTAGAAAGGGGAGGCTAGTCACTCATAAGTAGAGATTTTAAAGTAGGACTGATGTTGGATTCAACATCTGGAGTTGCTTACCTCATATGGTTATGCACTCAATCTTAATTCACATTTATTTTTCACTATTGTTGGAGCAAATACACACATTTTGGAGTCTAAAACATCACAATCTCCGAGCACACCACAGGTGAAGTACGAGTTTCATTACCCTGCTGAAAAACAAGCATCAAGCCTTTTTTCTAAACCATTTTGCTTGTCTTAGCTGGTCTCCTAGTCTGGTCAGGCTAGTATGTTTTGCTGGTTTTAGAGGGGTTTTGAGCACTTAAACTTAGCTGTGGACAAGCTTGGCCAGGTTAGGAGACGAGATAGATCAGCTATGTCTAGCACACACACACACACTGCAGTGGTGTCGTGCCACTGTAATCACTCATATACCTTTATATTTGACCAGCATGATATTTTTGAATACAGATATTGTCTTTAGTACTACCTACTGTGTAATGCTACTATTTGCATTAAGGTTTTCTTATCTCTAATTAATGTTTCTGATGTTTGTTGTCACATATTACCATTTGAATATATATATATATGCATATGCATATATAGGCATTACCCAGGTGGCTGACAGAGATAAGACATTGCCATGTTTGAGAAATGCACCACACATTACTTTTGTAAATACTAGTTCTACAAAACTATGTACAACACACATATAGGTAATCTTTGTATCACAGTCTATTGCATAATGGTGATAATCTTTAGTTTTATAAATATTGTAAATGTACAGTCTTTAAGTGACATTTCATAATGTCCGTCTCGTTCTTAAATCAGATACAGAAAATAAAACCATCCAATTTGACCACACATCCTTTGTAAAAAATAAACTAAATTAAAATAAAAAACAGAAAAAATACATTCCCTTTAATGCACAAATGCTGTCTTGAAACACAACGCAATTACTGCACAACACAAAGTATTGCAGAGATCGAAACTGCACCTTGATTTGATGCTCTGAGCATTTTCTGATAATATATATTTTTCCAGCTGTTAAAAGTTTGAGATGTGCTTTTTAAACATTTCAGTAATTCCCAGGTTCGATTTGCGCAAACATTTTCCACAGTGATGCCAAAAGCTGCTGAATGCTGGACTTGTTTTGTCATCTTCTCGTTGAGAACAAAAATGGTAAATAAAACACATTCAAAAGCATTCCAATAACGAAAAATCCAAACTGTAAGGAAAACATCAACAGAAAAGAACATCTTCAGACACATTATAGTCACATATGTTAGAGAGGAAGACTTGTGTTTATACTAGAGTTTTTTTTTCTCATGGTCAATGCCAAATATTCTAGTTGGATTTGCACATATATGTTTGTATAATATACATTCTTAAGTTGAAGGGGAAGTGTGTCTAAAATATAGTATAAGGAAATTCTGTACAGGATAGCTATGAGGTTGTTATTTTTTCTCAGAGGAAGTTGGTGGGAAAAAAATACAAGTCTTTTCCCCATTTTTTAGTCTCTCCGTAAAAATATCTTTTAAAAAAATGAACATGAAAAAAAGTAAAATGGGATCATAAATTCGATGCGAACCGCATCTTGTCTTGTTCCGTCTCTGTACTGCTTAAGACTGCCGACTCTCTCCTGGAGCCCGTGGAATCCCTGTGCTGAGCACTAGAGGGTGCCGTGCGCACCGGCGGTAATGCGCCCGATGACATCTGCCGGAAAAGGGCGACCCTCTGTGGAACGTTGGTGCGGATGCCGCTTTGCAGGACGGAGCCCGGGGCCTGGACGCCTGCCACGGATCCAATGGGTGGCTGAATGGAAGCGAGCGATTCGCCCGATATGGGATGTGCCCGGGCAGCCAATGAGGTTTCGTGGGGCAATGACGGCTGCGAGGCAGAGAGGTGGCGTATGTCCTTGCTCAGGCTACCTGACTGGAGTGCCTGTGCGCTCTTGTGGACATCGCTCCTCTGAGGAGACGCCCCTTGTGATTGCTGCGGCGGTTGTTGTGGTATGGAGGCAGGCGAGGGCTGCTGGGGTAAGGGTTGCTGTACAAGGGACAGTTGGGAGGCCGTCAGCGATCCGTACTGGAATGTTCGGCTGGCCATAGGGGTTTGCACTGGGGGACTGCAAATGGATGTGGTGAACGAACAAGGAGACATGATCGCCCCTGCTGGCTGCTGCAAGGGCGTAGGGGGGGTTGGGGAAGAGGTGCTCAAGTTGCCGTGAGAAACACTCGGCGCCGAAAACGTGACGCCCTGTGAGGGCGGCACACGGCCTGACGGGGTTATTGTAGCGGAGGTGCTGTAGCTTAGTGGGGCGGCCTGCTGCTGTAATTGGTTGATCCCAAGAATGGCAGTTGCTGTACTGAACGGTGGCTGGGCGGGAGAGTTAATGATGGAGTTTCCAGACATCGGCGTGGAGTTCATCCCCGGGACCGATTGCTTCCGATCCACCATCATCACCATCTCTCGGTCCTGCCGGATGATCTGCTTCAGCAGCTCGTTCTCCTGAGTGTTGAAGACGCCAGCGTTCAGATCCTTCTGGAATTTCTGGAGCAGGAGAGAGTTCTTCTTTCCTGTTTGGAGGTGTAACCAAAAGATAGTCAGTTTTTAGTCAGGGCTGAGTGGGTAACAACTAGACCAAATGGGGGTAACAAAGGGTGTTGAAGAGTGAGAGGAGAAGCACAAAGGTATCACAAATGTAGAAAGGGGAGGCTAGTCACTCATAAGTAGAGATTTTAAAGTAGGACTGATGTTGGATTCAACATCTGGAGTTGCTTACCTCATATGGTTATGCACTCAATCTTAATTCACATTTATTTTTCACTATTGTTGGAGCAAATACACACATTTTGGAGTCTAAAACATCACAATCTCCGAGCACACCACAGGTGAAGTACGAGTTTCATTACCCTGCTGAAAAACAAGCATCAAGCCTTTTTTCTAAACCATTTTGCTTGTCTTAGCTGGTCTCCTAGTCTGGTCAGGCTAGTATGTTTTGCTGGTTTTAGAGGGGTTTTGAGCACTTAAACTTAGCTGTGGACAAGCTTGGCCAGGTTAGGAGACGAGATAGATCAGCTATGTCTAGCGGTTTGTTTTCCAGCAGGGTATCTAGTACTACTTTTATAGAACGAACACAAAGTTTTATTGCACTACACCGAGCAATAATAGGCCTTTACTCTGAAAAAAAGAATCTCTTCGTCAGCAGCTAATGATCCTATAAGACTTTTCTAGGATATTTTTGAGTATAAACTTATAGTTTGTTGTTATACTTATAGTTAAAACAACTAGTTGTTGTATTCACTACTGTTATTGTCTCTTCCCTTAAATATTTGCTTTTTTATCGTCCATCTACCCTGATAGCTAGGTTAAGCTAGGTTTTTGTGTTGTGTTTTACAACGGAGGACTGGGAGTGTCACTTTAAAAATAACTTTCAAAAAGACAAATAAATTAAAAAAAGTTTCAAATTAGTTAAATGTAACAGTAAAATTAAATTGATTTAGCATAAGTATAAAGATAAGCAATTGGAAAATAAATAAAGAAAAGCAATTAGCAATTTTTGCAATCAATTTAAATATATAAATATAAATATCAAATATCATTTATAATTTGTTACATTTAGCAACATTTTAAACGTTGATTTATTTTTATTTTATTTACATTTTTAAATACTTATTTATTTGCCAGTTTGAAAAGTTATTTAAATTTTTATTTATACAGATTATGCTTTAATTTTTTTTTGTATTTATTGGAACTGCTAGTCCTCCATAGTCTACATATAGGTAGAATCATTGATCAGTGCAATTAATAGTCATCTGTTTGTGGGTTACTGTGAAATAAATGCCATATTCTATGAACTGGAACCTGAAATAAAGAAAATCAACTGATTGATTAACTAATGTTTGTAAAGAATTCTAGAAGGTTATTGGGGTTTTCAAATATGAATTTAACTTCACTCCAGTGTGCCAACTGAATTTAGATCGGTTTCTTTTACTCAAGTCACAGTTTTGCTGCTATCATAAATGAGGGATGTATCGATTTTTCCACGAAACTCTACTATTACTGCCCTTTTGCACACAATAGCTGAGCATAGCTCTATTGTTACGTAAGTTGACTGAGTAAGGCTCTTATGAGCTGAAGGCATAAAGCAATAGGCTATCAATCTCTCAGCCATAGCTGTATGACAGAATCAGGCAGGAGGAATCCTGAGGTTTTTAAAATTCAAGGTGAAAGCACAGTTTCATGACCCTGCTCTGTGGGACATATAAAGTTTTACAATCAAGCTGTCTGCAGTGTTGAGCGCAGAGCTGTTATATATCTAATCATTAAGGAAGGACTATTACACTATTTTGTGATTAGAGAAAAAAGTTAATTTTAGTATGAATTTAAGACATGTTTAGACAGATCAATTTATTATTGTGGGACTAGTTTATGGGGGCGAATGCTAAAAGAATGCAATGCGTCAAAACAGGTGGTGATAATCATTGAATCATTGTTGCATCATGAATAATATTCTTTAAACTTTGCCATAGCATTTTTTGGGGGCGGGGACATACGTAAATTGTCACGGCTACCTGTCAGGCATCACTGAAATAGTAGTTAATTTCAGAAATCACACTTGTCTTTGTGACAATGTAGGTATTTTATCAAGTTTTCAATACAGACCTACTGAATTTGAATATTTTACAATAAAATATTTAGAATTAATTGTATTGTTACTTACTTATAATCAACAACTTTGATGGAAAATTTTGGATTATTGTTTTTTTTTTTTTTTAA